ATCCTTTCTTCTTTTTCATCAAGTCTGTTGTTGAACCCCTCTAGTGTGTTTCCCAGTTTAACTACTGTATTCTTCAGTCCTGTGACTTCTATTTGGTACTTTTTAAAATTTCATCTCTTTGTTGATGTTCTGTGTTTATCCATTCTTTTTCCAAATTCAGTGAGCATCTTTATGACCATTATTTTAAACTCTTTATTAGGTAAATCACTTATTCTCAGTTCATTAAGGACTTTCTCTTAGGTTTTATCTTGTTCTTTCTTTTGGAACATATTCTTCTGTTTCTTAATTTTCTTTCTCTATGTTGGGTGTTTATGTATAGATAAAAAGCTACCTCTCCCTGTCTTGAAGGAGTGGCTTTGTGTAGAAAATGAAACTTATTTACAATCCTACCCTAGCTCTTGTCTTTCAAATCTTTGTGATTGTCCAAGCAGCCTATTTTATTTTTAGAAGCTCCCCATAGTTGAGGGTGTGCCAAGACCTGTCAGTGTTTCAAATGGGAGGATCCCAGTCCATAGCTAGATTCGAGCTGACTGGAAGCCAGGCAGCAGATTTTAAAGTATGCAAATATATACAATTCTGTAGGACTGTAAGCATAAGTCCTGGCCACCAGAGTCAGGTGATGTAGAAATGTTCCCTGGGTAAAGTTATAAAAATTGAGATGTCAGGTTGAGTGTACAGGCTCCTTTCTGGGAGACACCAGCAACTTGGTGAGGTAGAGGGAAAGTAGAAAGATCACAATCACTGACTTCTGTCCCTGCAGTGCACCTCAGTAGGCTCCTAGACGTGTGCCAAACCAGAAGCCTGTCTCATAGGGCAAAACTCCAGAACAAGCAAATAGGCCTTTTTCACAGAAAGTGTGGGGTGTGTTTCATTCTGCTGTTTGCAGTGCCCTGGTATAAACTGTCTATTTGTTCCTGTCCCATGGGACAAGGAACACAAACCCCACTGGCCACCAGAGCTAGGTGATCGGGTGGTGTCCCCTGGGTAACAGCCATAAAAACCAGGGCACCAGACACATGTGCAGTATCTGGGAGATACTGGTACTCTAGAGCACAGCAGAGGGAGAGTGCAAAGACAGTGCCTTCCTTTGGGGTCTTTGAGAATTTCAGTGAACCCTTATATGTGTGTTTAATTAGAAGCCTGCCCCTCAGGCTGCAGCTATGAAGATAAGCTAATAGGCCTGTTTTCACAGTAAGGCTGGATGCCTCAGTCTGTTGCCTTTTGTTGTGCCCTGGGGATGGCAGACAGTGAAGAATGCTTTCTCCATTGGTTACAGCCCTGTGGGACCTGTGAGCGTAAGTCCCACTGGCCACCAAAACCAGGCAGTCTAGAGGTGTCCCCTGGTGTCAGGGACAAAAGTTAAAGTATTAGAGGAGGGTACAAACTCCTTTCCCAGAGATGCCAGCAAGCTGGGGTGAGGCAAAGGGAGAGTGCAAAAATGGTGCCCACCAACCTCCATCTCTGGAATGTACCCCAGCAGCCCCCCAGATGTCTATTATTTTAGATGCCTGCCCCATAGGCTAATGCTTTAAGATAAGCAAATAAGCCTTTTTAACAGGAAGTCTGGGTGCTCCTCAATCAACTGCCTCTTTGCTGGTCCCTGGGTTGGGTGAGTCCAAGCACATAACTCTCTTATGAGTCACTTTTCAGTTCACTATTCCTCATGGTTATCAATGATGCAAGCCACATTGGTTTTCAAAGTTAGATGTTTTAAGGGCTCATCTTTCAGGTCTTAAAAGTTAGGGTGCCTGATGTGAGTTTCAAACCCTTAACTCTTCAGGTAGAAGCTCTGAATTGTGAGTTTCCTCCAGATTCAGGGCTTCTACACCAGGGGTGGGGATTATAGTGAGATTGTGTGTTAGTCTCTCCTGCCTGCTTCGATGGTTTGTTTTCATTTGCCCAAGGTGTAGGAGTCACTCAGCTAGTGTTGGGTTTTTTTCAGGGGAAAGTGTTCCATACGTGGCTGTAGATTGATTAGTTGTGTCCATGGGAGGAGGTTAGTTCAGGATCTTCCTATATCACCTTAAGCCGGAACTCCACAAGTTTGGTTTTTGTAGATTACACACGAGATCAGGCAGTGTTCGTCTCTGATTTATCTCACTTAGCATAATGTCCTCAAGGTCCATCCTTGTTGCCTTGAATGGCAGGATGTCCTTTTTCCTCGTGGCTAAATATTCCACTGTGTGTGTATATAATCGCATTTTCTTTACATTCACCTGTTGGTGGGTACCTAGGCAGTTCCCATAAAACGGCTATTAACATGGGAGTGCATGTATCTTTCAGGTATCCTGTTTCCATTTCCTTTGGGTATATGCCTAGAATTGCTGGGTCATATGGTAAATCTATTTTTTAATTTTTGACAAACCTCCATATTATTTCCCACAGTGGCTTAAACAATTTTATTCCCACCAACAGTGTAAAAGGGTTCCCTTTTCTCCACATCCTAACACTGTTATCTTTTATAATAGCCATTCTAACCAGAAGGGGTATCTCATTGAGGTTTGATTTGCATTTCTTGATGATTACTGATGTTGAGCATCTGTTAATATAACTGTTGGTCATATGAATATCTTTAGAAAAATTCCTCGTTTCTCTGCCAATTTTTAAATTGGATTAATTTGTTTTGTTGTTGTTATAGGAGTACCATATATATTTTTAATGTTAACCCTATTCAATATATGGTTTGAAAAATTTTTTCTCCCATTCCATAGGTTACCTTTTCACTTGTTTCTTTTGCTGTACAAAAGCTTTTAAGTTTGATGTAGTTCTATTTGTTGACTTTTACACTTTTGATTGTGCTTTTGGTGTCCTTTTTTAAAAAGCACTGCCAAGGCCAATGTCAAGGGGATCGTTTCCTTCTAGTTTTCTGGTATCACATCTTACTGTTTAAGTCTCTGATCTCTTAATTTTTATGTACGGTGTAGGATGAGGTCCAATTTCATTTTTTGGCATGCACTTAGCCATTTTTCCCAGGACCACTTGAAGAGATTCTTCCATGGGTGTTCTTCGCTCCCTTGTTAAATATTAGTTGACTGTATATGCAGGGGATTTATTCTGGGCTCTCTACTCTGTTCCATTGGTCTATGTGTCTATTTTTATGCCAAGACCACACAGTTTTAATTACTGTAGCTTTGTAGTAGAGTTGATCCTTGAACTACAAGGATCTTTACACACACGATTTAAAAAAGCAACTGCATTTTTTTAAATGTCTTTATTAATTTCGGAGAGAGGGAGAGGAAGAAACATCAATGATGAGTCGTTGATTGGCTA